TATGCACTTTTCCATGTACATAAACATCTGCTTCTCTCTCCTGTTTCAATTTTACATATTTTCACCATGGCTTATACTTAGTCTGGACAATTCATCCAGCCAGGTGTTGCATGGCATAGGAGGTTGAGGTGGTATGTACCTCTGCCTTTAATTCTCCTGACTGACCTGAGTCACACATGGCCACAGTCTCTCAGGGTTGTCCCTTAGCCATCACGGGTCACCCATGGACTGCGATTCCTCAGGGGCGTCCCTGCACTGGCACATCTGTCTCTCACAGATTCCAGTGCTTTTGGGGACTTCGAGTGCCTTTCTAGAGCATGTCTCTCCAGCCTCTAACAGCTGTCTTTTTCAGATGTGTTTGAGCAGAGGCCCTTGTTGCTTCTCTGATTGGATCAACTTTGATGTCGTACAGTTAAATTTTGATGCACAGTAAATATTTTCCACTGTTGTTTCCCTTTGTCTCAAGGCAGCCTGGACCCCATTTCCACAGACATATTGCAACATGTGGTCTTTCCCACATATATCACCACTGTAGCCTACTCCTGGTTACACGCATACCTACTACGGCCTCCACTCTTTGGCCAAGTGAAACTTATATTTAAGACAAAATTATGAAGATTAAAGAAGTAACCAAACACCTATACATTTCAGTTGTGAACAGAAGGGCTGAGAACCATTTTAAATTGCTGTTCATGACACAAATTCTGCTTTCTTTTGATAAAACAAGTTCAACTCTGTATTTCCACCTATGCCATTAGTTCAGTTATTTTCATCTCATTTGTTGAAGTGTTCATGTTCACCAAAGGGGAGGACTTTGTGCTTCTTTTTTTTTTCTTTCTATACTTTTCTCTCAATGTTTTGTACTAAATAAATGAAACACAAAACTGAATGAACAGCAAACAAAAAATGAGATACAAAATATATCAGTCATGTAATTTTCTTTTAATTTGTTTCCATGTGTTTGGAAACTTTCTATTTATGGAATATTGGTTTATAACCAGACAGACTCTAATAGTTTTTAATCAAGTTCCATAATTTATATTCTTGACACTGAATTCTGAAGTGCACTTTGTCTTATTTCTGGATTCATTCCTGAGGTTAAGGTTTGCAGTAGTTTTATATGTTTTGTTTGTTTTTCATTTCAATATTTTAGCTAATTACTTTCCTTTGAAGTTAATTTAACCTTGATTGTTCAGAACTCAATCATTTCAATAGTTTTGTTTCCTTGATTAACTGCTCTTATTTCTATGGAAAGGTACAGATTTGTGGGTAAAATAGCAAACAAGAAGAGAGAAAATACTTTTTATTTAAGGTAGTATAAAATAAAAAACAGAAATGAAGCAAATGTAAACAAAAAAAACCCCACTCCACAAGAATTTCAGACCTATCATGTATATTTGTGTTAATACTCTCACAAACAATCACATGTTTAATGAAAAAAAGACATATAGACAGATCAGAAAGTCTTCAAAATGTCTTTTACACATGTAGCAATTTCAAGATTATCTTATATATTTGCCTGCTGTTACGTAAGTAAATTATGAAATCAGTTTGGGATTGAATAGTCTAGACTTAATGTTGCTATTCACCCAGGATGTTACCATAGCATTTTTGTAGCTGTGTCCATTACTATATGTAAGAAAGCACTAATGAGTTTCAAATTTATGCTGTTTCTTTTCTTGGAACTTTGTGCATTATACATTTAATATCTTTCAAAATTAATCTGATTGACTTCTGAACACTTAATTCAGCTTTACAGAAAAATGAGGTCAGGTAGCCATCTCCATAAATTGAATCCCCAGTACCGAATAAAGCATTGACATATCCTATATCTTAAAGGCATCTAAGTTGTGGGTCACATAGTACATTCAATCCACCCGAAATATAGTATTTTACGTGACTTTCAGTCCTCATCTGGCAGCATAAGCTAAAAAGCTTTGTGCAACTGGAATTTAGAGAGTGCAGTTTCTCATTTCCTTTCAGCAATTTTTAGTACTAAAATACAGAAGATACAACCTATTTGCATGATAATTACAATAGTTCCCCAAAAATGGATTATGAGACCTAGGTTTTAAGTGCACCTCGCTATGGAGACTTGAATATTCATCCCTTACCGACCAGCCGGTCAGCACTGGCAGCCCCATGCTGAAGCAACAGCAGCAAGTAGGGACAGGGATAAAGTGCATATGGGAAAGCTGAGTCTATAGATTAGTATTTTTGTAAGCACCAGGGGATCCGCTCTTCAATTTTTCTTCCAGGACTTTTTTTGAATTTCAGGTTATAGTGGATAAAAACAGAAACGGGAAATGAGAAATAAGGCAAACTGGGGTTATAGTCATGGATCAAAACTCTTAAGGGAGTTAATACCTTTCTAATTAAGTTACAACTGGGTTTTACCTTACCTAGGAATATATTATATATTGACCCAATTCAAAATAAAGAAGTAACAGATGTCCCCTGGCATTTAGATACCTTTTTTTCTGGGAAAGGTAGTTTCAATTTTTCATAAGCACAAGTGAACCTGAAACTCACTTTTTCAAAAGAAGCTTTTGAATTTTTAGTTCATCCTTTGTGCTTCCAGCTGATGTGACCTCTACTAAATAACCTAGACAAAATTAGTGTCTGGATTCCAAGTAGCCTTAACCAGGATGTATATTTTGATATTCAATGCCTTAAAGACAGTGATACTCAGAATTCACGTTGCAGAATTAATTGTGTGAGAAACAATAGCTTTTGGGACAGATATCTGAGTTTCCTGGACCCTTAATCATATTTTAATTGGCTTTGGTGGATTACATTTCTTAATGTATGTTCTAAATCACACTTCGGGTATCTAAAAAATTTTTGTTTAAAGTTTGGCATTATCATTGTTTAACCATTCATATATGTTCATGACTTTTTGGCAGTCTTTCTTAAAGAAATTACTATGGATTTTACTGTAACTTTTAGAACTATTTTTTTACAGTTGTTGGTTTTCAAGTAATTAATTATTCTCCTGTTTAAATTAGATTTCACATGATTAATAAATATTTCTGAAGAAAAAGTGAGGCTGTTGAAATATCCTGTCTGGCAAAGCAAAATCACTGCAAGCTAACAGCCTTTTTAGTTTCATGGTTGATCTTGAAATTGCATGAGATCATGAATTATAAAGAAAAAGCTAACTAATCTTTACAGTCTTTATTTTCCTCATGATTTGCAGAAGTATTCAAGTACCTCATTCAACATAAATACATAGTCACGAAAATATAAAATATAGATAATTTACACCTTTGTGGGTCAGACTCAGAAGTTCTTTGCACCGATTTTCACAATTTACACCCTTTTAAGGGTCTAAGCTATAAAACAGACAAAATGTGTCTTCTCCAAAATTTTAACTTGAGAAATGTTTTCCTTCCTATTCTAATTATGTTGTTTTCAGAAAGCGTAAATTCTAACACTGTTTTTATTGTCTCATGCTACCTCAAATTGAGAAATGAGCCCAACCTTGTATTTTTAACTTTAGTCCAAAGGTATAACATCTGTATGTACTTAGATACCTACCTCCTATTCCTAGTTCATCCTTGGTTTGCGTGTAGGTGTTTAGAAGCCTGATCACTCTAGATCTGAGCCACAATGGCCCATGATCATTATCCCACAGTTTTTATGGCAAGGTTTCCTACATTTCATATATGTAATACCACCAGTACTCGGCCAACCTCAGTGTGATCTGTAGGCAATTCTTGACTCTGCTGTCAGCTCAGGGAAGGCAGTGCAAGAAAAGAGGTCCTTTGATTCAAAGTGTGCAGTCAGAATCAAATATTGGCTTCAAGCTGACATCAGCTTTTGCCCACAAGCAAAGCTGGGGGCTAGTTTTTGGATCCTTCAGTACTCTGCCTACAAGGGGGTCCAATAACTGAGTCCCACCTCTTGTATCTGCCATACCTATGCACAGGCACAGTATAACATTGAGTTCCATCTATTTCTAAACAGGAATACAAAGGTTTCTATGATGCTATCACTGCATATATGTATTCGAAGCCTGGGCTGTGGCATCAGTGTGGCAGAAGTATACAAAAGATTGGCACAGGTTGCTAAGTGTTGGGAAGGTGGGACTGGATAAGAGTAGAGATACTACTTAATAAAGACAGAATGATGGTAGATATAAGAAAGTGAAGCAATAATTTGAATTGTTGTGAATAAATAAAATATTATGTTACAAGATAAAAGACAAAAGATACAGAACCTGTTTCCTGTAACCACGTTTACTGGCTGACACAGAGGTGTGTGCTCCTGTTGTTGCTTCACGGTTGGTACTTATTTCTGGGATCTTTCACTAACAAAGCCCAGATAAACTATTTCTGGGAAGTTCATTTTACAGCAACTTGTATTACCAACAAAGTTTGTTATGTTTCTTTAAAATGGAGTCCAGCTTCAAAAAACAAAGTGGTGCAATATATAGATGCCACTGAATTGTTCTAAACTGGGAATTTCGAAGAAAAATCATACAGTCATAGAATATCCTGAGTTGAAAGGGACTTACAAAGATCACTGAAGTCCAACTCCTTCCCCTGCACAGGACAGTCCCAAGAATCACACCACATGCCTGAGAACATTGTCCAAGTACTTCCTGAATTCTGTCAGACTTGGCGCTGTGACAGCTTCCCTGGGGAGCCTGTTCCAGTGACTGGCCACACTCTGAGTGAAAAATATTTCCCTAATATTCAACATAAATCTCCCCTGACACAGCTTTATGCTGTTAAAATATTTTCTTTTACTTGGAAAAAGGGACCTGGAGAGAGGGTCATCTATGCTCTCTCAAAGGGCATTTAATAGACTTCCAGAAAGTACTGCTAAGAGAAAGGTGTTTCTATGGGAAAAGAATGAAAAGATGAGATGGTAGAAGATGTGGTTGTTGAGCATAAGAAGCTGGGGAGAAAAAGAACTACACCAAAAAAACAAGTAAAACAAATGAATAAATATTTTGGAATAAGAAGTTCAGTATTTCAGCTAGTTTTTTAAGTAGTCTTGGAAAAACTGTGTTATGCTTCAAAGCGTCCTTTAGAACAAATAGGAAGTAAATCTTACAGAAATATATAGGTAGACAAGAATTCCCTGTTAGTGTAACACAAATCCTAGTGGTCTAATTCAAGAATCACTATAAATCTAGATCTAATTTTTACAGAAAATGAAGCATAATAATGCAGTTAAAATGTTATGCACACACTTTGTTCCTACCTCTTTTCCCTACGTTACAATCACACTTCCACTGCCTTAGTCCTGAGGCCTTGTAAATTCACTAAAAAGCTAATGGCCTGTTACTAGCAATAGCAATACTGTATTACAGGCCTGTGTGGTTATGAATAAATCATTCCAGGATTTAGGTGTAAATATAATAAGCAAACTTTGCCTTATCCTTTTCTTGCCCAAGGAAATAATTTCTACAGAAGAATGTGAAGGGCAGAAGCAGAATGACTTTTATAGACCATCAGTGCCTGGAACCCAGGCTGAGAGAGAGACTATATTAAGATTTTAAAGGGGTGGAAATGAAAGAGCTTTTGCTGTTGAAAGGACAAATATCACTCTTGTGATAAGGACTGTTAAACAAAATAAAGTAAAGTAAACCAAACCAAAATAAAATAAAAGACTTCAATATCTGAAAAGAGGACAGGAGATGTTGAAACCTGTCACCCATGACTATGTAATATTTTTGTTTCTCATAATCAAGACAATGAGAATACACTGAAATACGCTGCAGATTTTAGAAAGCATAGCTTGTCTGTTTCAGAGGCCTGTTTAAATCTGATTTGTTTTTGTCTAATTTGCATTACAGAATTGAAAGTCTTTCATACTACAGTACTTCTCTTCAGCTGAATGGAATAATTCATTAATTTGTTGAAGCTCTCTTCATTTAAGATTAGAGCAGGATAATGTTAACAGATAGTTCATTTCTTATAGCTCTACTGCTAAGCACTGAAAAGTCTTGAAAATAATGTAAGTACACTTTATAGTATCTGTTTTGAATTCAAGAACAAATTTGAGTCAGGTGGCTATTGATTAAATTCATTTTTATGCAGATGACTCGCACTCCTACAGCCCTCTCTCAGGTTGCCATTATTCAGGTGAGAGGAGGAATTGTGTAAATTTATGCATTGTACATTTTTAGTAACACGACAATAATTCTAAGAACTGAAAGACTGACTTAGAAGGAACAAAGTTAATCTCACTTTACTCCTCATAAATTAAAAACAATAGCTCCCAATTTCCCTGAGAATTTCCTAATTTAGCAGGGTATAGATTTGTACAGATAAAAGAAATGGAATCTTTTCCAGACTTTTTTTCTGATCATTGACACAGCTTCAAAAATGTGAAGTCACAGGAAGATATGAAAGATGCATGTGTACACACATGAGGTAATATTTGGTAAGGACACTCATGTGAGAATGAGGAGTTCTGGCATCTTCCTACTAGTATTCTCATGCAGTACCTAAGCTTCTCAATGCAGTTACAGAGCTAATCAATTTTGCCTCCTGACGTCTAGCACAAACTGCATAACATTGTTACAGCAAATGAGAAGTTGGATATACAATAAAGACATTGCTTCTGTGTGAGAGGTGGAACTGTTACTGTAGTCAAGAGCACCAGCTCTCTTTGGAGGAGGAATCAAGAGTCAAAGGAGAAACAAGGGAGTGTACAATAACTAAATACAACTAGGGGGGAAAATTTAGGAGTATAATGAGTTCCATCAAAGGTAGTAGAACAAAACAGATAAAAACCACCAAGACAGGCCATTCTTCTAATAGAATCAAATGATAGTAAATCAGAATTCGTACTGTAAAGTACTGAGGAGAGATGTCACAAAAAAATTTATAACAAGTGTAAGACACCATATGTTTCCATGTTTAAAGGTAAAACTTGTACTGGGTCTGGCTGGGATGGAACTAATTTTCTTAAAAGCGGCTCAAATTGTGCTGTGTTTTGCATCTGTAGCTAAAACAGTCTTGATAACACACCAATGTTTTATCTATTGCAGAGCAGTGCTTGAACAACATCAAGACCACCTCTGTTTCTTACTCTGCTGTCCCCTGGCGAGAATGCCAGAGGTGGGTGAGAGTTTGGGACCAGACACAGTCAGGACCACTGACCTCAGCTGACTAAAGGAATATCCCATACTGTGTAACATCACACTTACCAATAAACTGAGGAGCAGTCTTTCCAAAGTACCATTAGAGTCTGTATGAGGCCAGTCATTGTTCTGCTGGTAGGAGGTGGTAAGTGCTTGACTCTTCATCACTTGTTTTTATTTTTTTTTTTTTCTCTCTTTCCTTTTTCTTTTAATCTGTCTTCGTCTCAACTCATGAGTTTTTCTTGCTTTTGCTCTTACAGTTTTCTCCTTCTTTCCTCTGGGGGCAAGGAGTGAGTGAGCAGCTGGTGCTTAGTTGTTAGCTGGAGTCAATCCACCACAAAAGTGAAAGTGAGCTGGAATAAAAAGGTGACATTCAAGAGAGATTCTGTTAGAAATTATGTTAGTCTTGTGTGCTTCTACTGACATGAGGAAGAATGTTAACAAAATTACTAATTTTAAGGAAGCTGTTGAGGCAATGAAACATAGATTATACAGAACTGTAAAATGATAATAAGTTACGTGAAACAGCGATTTTTTAAAAATGAAAAAACATTGAGCGAGATAGGAATAAAAGGTATGGAACTGAGAGAAAGAAGGCAAATATGAACTCACACAGAATCTTATTTTATTACAGTCTTTCACTATAAAGTGTTCTTTCTACTTTCATGCTGATTTAAAACTCATGTAACTTCACTGAAATAATACAAAACAAGTTCAATGCTTTTAAAGATTATACAATTTAACGTATTATAGAGAAAGATATTTTTATTATACCTATACTATAGTGTATATGTGGACTATGTATCATACAAATAATATATATATGCATGCACACATACTGCATGTACACATTATGTAGTAGATAATGTATATACATGTTCTACACACATAGTATGTGTATATGTATACAAATGATAAATAGAGTATATATCTCTGTGTGTATACATATTATATGAATAATGTATATATTAAAAAAGCATAAGTAGATGACAGTCACCTCTGCCTTTGTTTTGGGTTGGGGGGTTTTCTAGTTTTGGTGGGTTTGGTTTTGTGGGTTTTTTTGCTTCTTTGTGGTGGTGTTGTTGTAGTTGTTGTTGTTGTTCCAAGACCCTCTTCATCTTGAATAAATGCATGGCTAATCTTGTTCATCCAAAGCTTTTGTAACAGCAGAGAGTACATCTGCCTAGAGAAGGAGGATAAATTCTCCTTAAAACAGACAAAAGGAAAAGGGGAAAGGAGAAAGGGGAAAGGGGAAGGGGGAGGAGAAGGAAGGGAAGGGAAGGAAATTACTCTCTCATCCTTTCATTAGGGGTCAATAATGATTTCAGCAATATTGTGTCACAGTTACATATAGTGTAATGGTAATAAAAATAAAATAGCTTAAAACAGCAATAAGAAAAAAACAAATAAACAAAAAGAAATAAAACAGAATATAAGCAAACCATTTATACTGTCTTTTGGACATTTTCCATATTTCTTTTTGTGGATTGCTGTATATCACTACAACTTGCAAATGCATCTACACAGAATGCAGTGGATTGGAGAGTGACTTCCAGGCTAAAACACTTACTGTAATTGTTGCTGGAATGCTAGCTCTAGGAAGCTCTTCCACTGTCTTTTTGCTGAGCTACACCAGATCTTGAATGACACAGAAAGAGCAGATAGCCAGCATAATTCTCTGAGGCAACTTCCAGTGATCACTCTTACAAGTGTCTGATTCCTAGTCTTAGGAGAGCCTTGAAACCCAGACCACTCAAGCAGCATTAATGTCACCAATCTTCTAAGACCAAGACTGCTCCTGCAACTCCAGGCAATTTTTAGCCTATGTTATTTTCAAATCCAGTAAATAAGTAATTCAATAGTTGTTCACCATAACTTCCAGAACTATGAATAATAACTGCTAATTATTAGGTCCATCTATTCCATCTTGTTATATCTAATCACCACGTCTATGTTTGGCAGAGTAAATTTTCTGTTGTGGAGAAGAGAGTAGATGAGCAATTAATACTTTCCTATTTTTGTTGGTTTAGAATACCTTTCAAATAAACACCTTTGCTCTCTCCCTAGTCCTCTCTCCCACTATGAAAGCAAATTCCTTAAAATTGATATCAAAGAATCCGAACTCAGATTTTTTTTCCAAAAATGTTCTTCATATTTGGTTCCAGATGCAACTAATTTTTCATCCAACCTGGCAGCTGCAGCCCTAAGAGGCTGCAATTGAGCTCCGAGGATATATTTCAAGACCATAAAGCTGAATATCCACAGTTCAAACTGACTTGATATTGAGAAATATCTTTATTACACAGGGGCTTTTAAGTCCTCAGACTAAATAAGGTAAACACTACAGTGCTTCTTTCACATGAACTCTTGCTGATTGTTAGGGAGTTTCTAAATCTGGTTTTGGTTTCTTCATTTGTTTGTTTGGTCTGGTTTTTTGATTGGCTTTCACTCATTTTCTATTATTAATGTTTAATTTAGTTTTTTTTATTGGAAGACTATTTCAAAAGATCTGATCTGTATTTTCTGATCTTAAACATGCAACTGACCAGTCAACACAGAATTTTTTTGCCACTTAAAATAACCCACTGTTTCAAAACAAGGACCTTTGCCAAGAATATCTGCAGTATATTTTAAGAATTATAAGGATTCTGTCACTTTGAGAATTAGGGAGCCATAACATCCCCTGCATCAAAGCAGGCGCTAGCATTTTCTAAGTGTATATGGTTCTGCAACAACAGAAAATTAATTTTCTTCAGATTTGTTCTCTTTCTACCCATGTCTCTATTTGAGCACAATTTCTTTTGCAAAATAGTAATGATCTGTTTTTCTATATAAGCTAACACATTTTTGTATTTATTTATCTATATTTGATGATGGGGATAGTAACTGCTAAATATACACAGTACTTGGAAATTCTTGATTAAATGTCTATGAGCATTTCAGAGCATTTCATAGAACCAAAGAATGGGTCAGGTTGAAAGGGATCACAGTGGGTTACATCCGGTCAAACATCTCTTCTCAAACGGAGTCATCCTAGAGCACATTGCACAGGATTGTGTCCAGATGGTTCTTGAATATCTCCAGGCAGGGAAACTCCACAACCTTTCTGGCCAATCTGCTCCAGTGCACAGTCACTCACACAGTAAAGTTCTTCCTCATATTCAGGTGGAACTTCTCGTGCATCAGTTTCTGCCTGTTGCTTCTTGTCCTATTGCTTGACACCACTGAGAACAGCCTGACTCCACTGTCTTGACACTCTCTTTTCAGATACTTATAGATCCTGATGAGTTCCCTTCTCAGTCGTCTCTTCTTGAGGCTGAACAGGCTCAGGTCCCTCAGCTTTTCCTCATAAGAGAGATGCTCCACACCCTTGATCATCTTTGTAGCCCTCCACTGGACCTGCTCCAGGAGCTCCATGTCTCTCTTGTACCGAGGAGCCCAGAACTGGACACAGGACTCCACATGTGGCCTCACCAGGGCTGAGTAGAGCAGCAGGATCACCTCCCTTCACCTGCTGGCACCTCAGAATACCATTGGCTTTCTTGGCCACAAGGGCACACGATTGGCAATTGACAGCTTGTTGTCCACCAAGACCTCCAGGTCATTCTCTTCAGAGCTGCTTTCCAGCAGCTCAGCTCCTGTAGTGGTGCCTGGGGTTATTCTTCCTCCGTGTCCTAGTTTCAGACAGGATTTTAGTGTCCACCTCATGTCATTGCCAGGGGCGGGGTTCTCCAAGGTGTGCTCTCTGGTTTCTTGGAAGAAGGGTGTGGTTTCCAGTTGAAAAAGCCCTGGGGCATCGTCTACCTTTGTTCATTGTCTTAGGTTTGGTGAGTATTTTGCATGTGAATCATCCTCCCTTGTACTTAGTTATTTATATTGTTACTGTTCATTTTCTTATTGCATTGCTGTTTCCAGTAAATTGTTCTTATCCCAACCCGTGATGTTCCCCTTTTGTGCCTCCAATTCTCAACTCCATTGCACTGGAATGGAAAGGGGGAGGGGAAGGGGGCAGCGAGCAAACGGCATCCGGTTTGGGAGAGTCTTGGTGGGGGCATTGAATTGAGGAGTACCATTCCCAAACTGTGACAATCAGGTGCAGGGCCATGCATTTACACTTATCGAATTTTAGTAGGTTCTTCTCTTTCCATCTCTCCAATCTGTTGAGATGTTTCTGGAGGACTGTACTCTGGGGTATCAGCCATTTCTACCAGCTTTGTGTCATCAGCAAACTTAAGCAGGAGTCATCTACCCCTTCATCCAAGCCATCGATGAATAAGTTAAATAATATAGAATCTTGAGGGCCACCACTAATGGCAAACCTCCAACTAGACCCTGTGCCACCATTTACGACCCTCTGGGAACTGTTATTCAGCCAATTTTCAATCCACCTCACTGTCCACTCACCCAGTCTATACTTCCTGAGTTTGCCTATGAGGATTTGTTAGAGACAGTGTTGAAATCCTTGTTGAAGTCAGGGTAGACAATATCCACTGGTGTCTCCCTCATCCATCCAGGTAGTTGTTTCATCATGGAAGACAATCAGGTTGGTCACTTATGATTTACTGTGCTGTCCACTCTTTATCATCTTCTCGTCATCTATGTGGATAGAAATGGGCTCCAGAATGAGGTGCTCCATCACCTTTCCAGGGATTGAGATGAGGCTGACTGGCCATGAGTTCCTTGGGTCATCCTTCTTGCCCTTTTTGCAGACTGAAGTCATAGAATAGAATCATAGAATAGAATCATAGAATCATAGAATAATTTGCTCTACTTCCAGTCCTCAGGTACCTCTCCTGATCACCACAACCTTTCGAAGATGATCCTGAGCAGCCTTGCTATGGTGTCTACCAGCTCCCTTTTCACTTGTGGATGCATCCCATCATGGTCCACGGACTTGGCGATGTCAAATTTGCCTAGGAGTTCTTAACCCAATCCAACTGAACCAAGGGAAAATCTCCCTTCCAACATTCCTTCACCCTGGTCTCCTGGGTCAGAGATTTCTGAGGTCTGATCTTGTCAGTGAAGACTGAAGCAAAGAAGGCATTCAGTAACTCTGGCTTCTCTGCTTCCTCTGTAACCAGGGCCCCTCCTCCACTTAGGAACGGGCCCACATTATCCTTTGTTTTAATTTTGTCTCATTTCTACATACTCTGACAACTTCTCTGTATTCATTCCAAGATTTTCCAACTCTTTTCTATACAAAAAAAGTCCATCCACACCCCCCTAATCACTGAGGGCAGTAAATTTCGTGTTTCTCTGCAGTGCTGAAAATACTTGAGCTGACACTAACAACCTGCACTGAATAATATCTTCTACAAAATATATTCCCAGTTGCATTTGGATATTGAGGTCAAATATAATGTTTTTCCCTTAGAGTATCAGTTTCACACATATTTAAATCATGAGGATGGTCTTTCTCTCTTTCCTTCACACATATGCATTGCACTAAGCACATTGGAGCAATTTCACACTGAGATATCTAGACATTGTTTCAACATTACGATTGTCAGTGCAAGCTGGAAGGCAATATCCTATTTTCTAAAATTATATAATTAAATCAATCAATCAGACTTCTGATAATAACTGGCCAGGGTAAAGGTTATGACTCATTCTCTTAAACAGATGACTGACAATCACTGACGTTGCTCCTTAATATAAAAGTAGAAAACTGAAGGAATATTTTCTTCCTGAAATTTGACAATATTGCAGTTAAAATTTTGTCAGTTTCGATAGTGGCAGAAACTGTGTCTAGCTTCAGAAATCCTTTGGATCTGTTTTTCTCAGCTGCCTTGCACAAGCTGAAAATGAGCAGAATATTGAAATCAACATTAAACCAAACATGAATGCTATGTGACTTTATATACAGATCTTAATACAGATTTTTAAGAGAGCATTTCTGTTGCTGTTCCCAGCTGTCCTAGTTTACTTACATCATATTAAAAAAATATAAGCATGCTGATGTTTACTTTTCTGTCTCATGGTGTGTTTTCTAACAATTCATGAAGTGATTAACCTTTTCAAAACAGTCTTAACCTATCTCTCTCACACTGACTTTTGTGAATTAGGTCATCAAAGAGATTTTAAAAATACTAGCAAAATGGAATTTGCCTCTCAGTAATTAACTCTGAAAAGGAAAAAAAAATGGGAGGGGAAGTGTCTTTGTAATCATTGCTGAATTCCCATTTCAAGGTACAAGCTTTGTCCAAGCACAGCTGCAAAGTTATTCTTTAAAACTCCAAGTGCTTTTTGAGTAGTTTTTAGTACTTGCTTTTCTTTTTCACTTAACCTAAACATTTGAAAAACTATCCTACTCTTTTATACTTCATCTTAAATCTCTTTGAAGACTAAAATTTTAGTGATGTGAAGATTTTTTTTATCCACAATGTGCTTTTTTCATTTTCCACTTTAACACTCTTTGGAAAACATCATTCCATGTGTAAAGTGTTCTATAAATCTGGTCATCTTGATTGATCTCATCACATTATTGTGTTAATTTTAATGTTTTCAGTTTAAAACTATTATACTTTTCATTTCATTGTAATGTAGTGTCAACAAATTTTATTTTATGATCTATCTAAATTAATTTATGAGACACTTTTTCAGACTAAAATAGAAATATATTGCACTACTAGATGAAGTAGTTTCCTTCTGGTTGTTTAGATCTACAAAACCACATAAAACTGTGTCAGGAGTGATATACAGCTGCCATTAGAAAAATCCCTAAGATTTTATACACATCTTCTGGCACTAGTACTAACTCATGAACTTTCTTAATAAACTCCCAAATGATGTTTATTTGTGTCTTGTACCATCATAGAGCATTGACAATTGAAGATGAGAAAGCAATTCACTAGATACTGTTTTGTAACTTTTTCACATTATGTTTAATAAAAAATAAGTTCACTTAAAGATTTTGTTTTGTCCTAATATTATATTTTACTTAGTTGTCATTTGAGGTTACAAGACAGGTTGAGGTTACAGGTAGATTTTTTTTAAATCTCATGATCACTTTCTTTTAATTAATTTACACTAACACTTCTTTTTTAGTAATTTAAAATTTCACATATTTACATATATGTGTATATATTATATACAGAGTTTTCTGTATATTTATGTCTTAAATATGAGTTAGTATTTTTTAATAGAGAAAATACAATATGAAGAGTTAGGCAATTACTGAAACAGAACATTTGGAAAACTTGAGTTTATAGGTGCATTGATTCATAAACTTCACTAGTCACTGTTGAAACATCTTTACAAGATATACTAAAACAAAAAAATCATGTAAAATCGTATAAGACTTACAGAAGTGTGACCATTGTTCTACACAATAATATCTGAATACATTCAAGCATTACTTAACCATTTTCATTTCATTCTTCACTGAGCAACTGTATAATTTTTTCACAGAACTACAGAGCAGCTGAGGTGACAAGGCACCTCTGGAGATCATCTCAACCAAATTCCCTGTTTACAGCTAGGTCAACCAGAGAAAGCTACTCTGGGTTGTGTTCATTTTTGTTTTTAATATCTCCAAGAAGGAAGACTTCACAGACTTTCTGGGCATCTTTATCAGTAATCAATCACCCTCAGTAAAAGAGTGTTTCCTAATGTTCAGGTGTCACATCCTGTGTTTTAGTTTGTGCCAACTGCTTCTACTTCTGACACTGGGCACCACTGAAAAGAACCTGGCTTCATACTCTTTGCACTCTCCCTTTAGGTGTTTATTAATGTTGATGAGATCCCACAGAGCCTTCTCTTGTCCTGGTTGAAGACTTACTCTCCCTCAGTCTCTTCTCATAAGACAAATGATCACTTGAGCATCTTCATGACTCTTTTCTGGACTCACTTGATCTGCATGTCTCTCCAGGGAGCCCAGAACAGAAGACAGCAGTCCAGGGATGACCTCACCAGAGCTGAGTAGAACTGCTTTACTTTTTTAAAGGACTTTGGACTTGAATGTGAAACTTACATCTTTGTCAAATAGTTTACCTTCAGCAACCCAAACTTTGCAGATTTTTTGTACATCCTACAAACAAAGGACAATAGATAGTGAGTATATGGGAGCCCATGTAAAGAAAGCAACTGTAAGAAAACACATCAATGGAAAAGATCTTTTTATGGAGTGATAAGATTGTATGACAGATGATCTTAATAAAATACTATTCTTTAAAGAATGCTATGATTCTCTGGAACTTAAGACAAACTGTAACTATTATCACTGTCTTCCACTAGCTTAGGTACTGAAGGTTTGGGTGCAGTTGAGCTTTACAATGAAATAAAATCAAGGAAAGCCCCAAAACTCTAAATTGTTGTTGTTTTCAGAGATTTTCGGTATGTTTGTGTAAATTCATGAGTGGTCAAGTTTTGTCCGGGAAGTAGTTTGATTTGGTTCGTGTGATTTATATTGTTACCTAAGAACATATGTATGCTTGTTACTGTATTAATGGGAAACCATAAACCATTGGGTTGCATTTATAATTTGAATTCATAAAGCAGAGCAAATGCTTTTATTGTGTTTATGTAGCAAGGTTTTGGTACCAGGGGAGAAGACTGCAGGAATGGCTTCTCTCCATGTCAGTCAGAGATAACTCCAACTGACTGCAAGATGGACATGCCACTGGACAAAAATAAGCCAACCAGTGATGCTGTTGATGTCTCTGAGATAGCATGGTATAAAACACTGTACAGCACCTTAGAGACAAGAGTGAGAAAACATGAGAGAAAAAAATGGGCATGCGATTTCATTTTCTATTGAATTCCATAAACTTCAGAAAAATGCATTATTTACCATCTAACATTATATCTTTATTTTTACAGCTATAAATCAGATCACAAAACAGATAAAACAAAATCTTCAATACTGTGTGTCACTTTAGCAGAAAACCTTTTTTCCAAACAACCTTTAGATTGTTCACACATTTGTAACCAGGACAGAAGGAACAAAACAGACATGACTTCTATTTCAGGAATGACAAATTGCAACATTTACAAATAAAACGTTCTCTTAATAATAACCTGAATCCAACACAGCTTGAGATCCTCATATCAAAGTCCGATATAGAGTCACATAATGCATATTTTAACTCCAAGAAGTATATTAAAACACCCCATACCAGTAACATATGATACATTGATTCTACAAAATTATAAATTTTAGATGTGAATTTCTTTGGATGGTGACATTTTTCACTGAAGAAATTATGTAGAACACACTGAAGGAAATGAGAAGTTTACTCATTTGATAAAAGGTTTTGGATCATTCCTTCAGTCTGAAGAATAATAAAAAAATTAAGCCCAAAAGAAAGCAGTATTTCTGAAAGAAGGTGACTTTTTAAATTTTATTTTGGAATACCAGCTAACTGCTGCCATCTACTCAGAGACTATAAACTGTTTTTCTTACCCAGTGTTGTTAAGTCTTCAACTTCTCTTTTAAGACAGTCAGAGAGATCTTTCATGCCAGTTGTTAAAAAACTCATTTGATGATATTCTTTCTTCTACCACTTTGCAAAGTTATTATTAAAATTTTACAATAACTTAGGAACAAATGTTGACGTTGAGTATTATATCTACAGAGACATCTACAGCGTAACTATGGTGTAGGGACACTGGGTTATTAGTGCAAATTTCTTGAAAGAATGCAAAAATTTCTGAACGGATTTTGTGGCTGCTGAAGTGATGACATAGTTCAAGGCAATAAATGAACTATGACCACTGTGAGGAGGAGGATTGTTTACCAGAGTCCAAGTTTCTATTTCTTCCTGCCACTTACTTGCTCTTTTGAGGATGCTTCCTCACCCAAGACCACCTTAAAACCAAACAAAACCCCCGAAGCCAAAACCAACCAACCAACCAAAAACCAAGGAAGAAATATGATCTAGTGCTTCCTGATATGCCAATAGCTCATTAAATGGGTAGCTATTAGGAATTTGTTTTTCCACTGAAAAGGTGGTCAGGCACCCAGGGATGTGGCGGAATTGCCATCCCTGGAACTGTTCAAAAGGTGTGTAGATGTGGCACTTTGGGTTATGGTTTAGTGGCGCAGAGTGGTGCTGTGTTAACTCAGTAATCTTAGACGTGCTTTCCAACCTTAATGATACTAAGCCTATGAGTATTTAAACTGAATGGTCTACTTAAATACATTGTCTTGTATCTTTTACAAAAGAAACTCAAAAGGTTCCACAAGTTTGCAAAATCTTTCTAATTACAGTCTGCAAACTGCACCATCAGTAACAGCACCATCAGTGAAGCAAACCATAGTGAGCAAACCTACTGTCCTAAATTGCCTACAGTTTTTTGAAGGTCTTACTTAGAGTCTGCATTTTAAAAAGGAAGCTGGTTTACACTTAGAAGCTGTGTATCATCTCATACATCATACTTTAGAGTACCATCAAGATTTTTATTTCGCGAAACTTTAGGTTGTCAGTGACAGAGGCATCAGTTTTGTTTCTACAGTAGTACCGCAGGAAACAAGAAGAGAGGTTTTAGTGTTAAAACTCATCAGTTATATTACTCTTGTTCACATTCCTGAATGTTGCTTTTTATTTTCCACTTTTTAGAAAAACGTGGTGCCCTTAATAAACTAGTTCTCATGTCACCTTGAAGAACAGTGAATATTCTCACATTTATATGACTGCTATATGTAGATACATGTGTGAGAAGGTAGAAAAAAAAATCCATTAATTTCACTGAATTTACTAGTCTCTAGACAAATAAACATATATTTCTTTTTCCACATCATCTCTGTGCAGTTTCTTCAGTTTTGAATTTCTATCTTTGATTCTACATGGTTAGAATTATTCTTTTGTTCCAACTCGTAATACACACATTTGTACCTGTTCATCCAAACAATTTCTCCTTTTACACTTTGCAAATCCTGTAGAACAAACATACTTATTTTCATATATGACTGATACTAAATCCTAGTAACAATTCTGATAGCCATCATTATATTTTTTTTTCTCTTTTGAAGAAAAAAAAAATCTGTTGTTCAGGAACAGCCATTGATTTTATTCTCTACCCTCTTTCTTTCCCTCACCTTAAATAAGAAATCCTGGAAATAAAGAGATACCTTTGGAGATAAAAAAAACAAAGATGTATAAACACTTCTTTCAGATAGACAAGAAGGAGGACCCAGGATGCTACAAATTATGAAAGAAATCTCTGCTTCATCCCTAGAAAGGACATGGAGCACATCTTCTTGGAATATTCTTTCAAGTATGGAAATAACAAGAAGGTTGTCAGGAACGATCAACATGAATTTACCAAGACAAAAGCCCTCAAAACAGAACTTTTGTGGGGTTTTTTTGTTGTTGTTTGTTTTGTTTGTTTGTTTGTTTTTTGTTTGTTTTTTGTTTTTCTTTTGTTTCCTTTGTTCACACTGTACTAATGCCTAAATCAGAGCACTACATTTATATGGGAAACAGAGGAATAAAATTTATCTCTGACATTTGCATCCTCTAATTTCTTATTTCACTTCCTAATAATGGGTATAGGAAAGAATTCCATGCTACAGAAAGAATACTTTTGTAAGTGATGGTAGAAGCTGGTGACTCAGCTTTAATTCTAGCAGATCTGACTGTAAATAATTCTGTCAGAGTTCATTACAGGTCAGAGAGTAATTTAAACTAGTAGATGTAAGTTTGAGTTTGCATGCAGATTTTTGTGGCATTTTTTGGTTTGGTATGGTTTTTAGTGCAAACCATTTGAAATACACCAGATTTTATATAGTAAAAATAGGGTGAATCCTGACAGTCAACCTTTGGAGCTTTTTCATGACTGAAGGCATAGTATTGCAAGAAACTGTCAAGCTATTTGCCAATAATCTATTTGACAAATAAGCTATTTTTAAGATAATAGATTATTTGTGAACCAGTACAGTTATATACAAATGTATTATTTAGCTGTGAATAGTTCCCATGGAAAACTGAAATAAAATGCAGTCTGTGAGTGTTAAACTTCTGTGGTTATTCCCTATTGCCATTTTTCATTTCAGAGGAGGAGAGCTCACCTAGGTGATCTTTTTGTTTGGAATTACATTAATGAAGGTCTTAAATAAGCAAATAGATGATGAGCAACAAATTAAAAAATAATGCATCTGTCCGCATGAAAAATGAATACTTTTAATAAAAATATTAATTCCTTAAATATTTGTGAGAATAGGGTATTTAGGTAGGACTATCCAGAAAAGAAACAACAAAATGTACAAAAATGTCTAGCAGAACTGGAATGATTCTTTCAAAAGATGACTTTTTAATATTTACACAGTTCTAATAGTTAACGTTTCGACTATATCAAACAAGTTAAAAATTTTTTTTTCATTTCATTTTGAAATGCAGGTAGAAGAGGACAGTCTACCTCCTTATGAACTAATATACAGTGAAAATACTCATTTTACAGTGTTAAATAAGGCAGTTGTTACATAACTATCTGTTAGCTATTTTTTTTAAACTGTTTTGTTAGATAGCTATGAAGGAACCACTAAAACCAAGCTTTTATGCTTTTATAAAGTTGCCAACTACACTTTTTATGAGCCCATATTCCTCTTTACGAGCATAATAAAAGGTGACTAGCATTCATGTGTGTGTCTGATTGTGCTGAGTGCAGGCAGTGTAATGAGGTCCATAGGAGTTCTCTTCGTACAGATGACTGGCTCTGATCTTTTTACTCATTATTTTTTCTCATTATAGCTTTGAATAAACCAAAAGTATATAAAAATAGTGAGTATATGAATTTTGATATTACATTAATTTTAAACGATGTAAAACCAATAACCTCCAAATTACTGTGCACTGGAACAGATTACACAGAGAAGTTGTAGAGTCTCCCTCACTGGATATATTCAAGAACCATCCAGACACAATCCTGTGCAATGTGCTCTAGGATGATCCTGCTTGAGCAGGGAGGTTGGACCAGATAATCCCACTGTGGTCCCTTCCAACCTGACCCATTCTATTACTCTATGATATGTACTCATGTGCGTATGCTTCTGCAGGTCCACACACATGCACACTTACATTTGCAGGCTTGTTATAGATGAGAAGCAGTCTGAGACAAAAACTGGAATTGGAGATAGACTTGTCAAATCATGTCAGATCCTATAAATTAACATGGTCAGCTGAAGCTAAACCCTACGTGTCTCTTTCTTTCAAATTGTGATGGTGTGGAAATGCATCAGCAGAGAGGCATAATGGGAGAAGACATGAAAAAGTAGGATAACAGAGAAGGTTCAGATATCTAGAAGTACCTTTGGGCACAGTGAATGAGTAAGATTGATGGATATCATTAAACTGTGACTTACTTTTCTCTGGGCAAGCAGGGGGTGAAACCAGTAGGTAATCACAGAATCACAAACTATGCTGGATTAGAAAGGACCCACAAGAATCATCGAGTCCAATCCCCAGCCCCACACAGGACCTCACCAAGAGTCACACCATGTGCCTGACAGTATCATCCAAATGCCTCTTGAACTTTGTCAAGCTTGATACTGTGACCACTTCCCTGGGGAACCTCTTCCAGTACCCAACCACCCTCTGGGCAAACATTCTTTTTCTAATATCCAGCCTAAATTTCCCATGACACAACTCCAGGCCATTCTCTTATAGTTATTATTCCTTGTTACCAGAAGGAGTGAGGAAATCACTACCTGTGTTTCTGTTCCCTCTACCAAATGTCCCAAATAATGGTCTCATAATTATGAGAATTTCAACTTTAATTGAACTAGGAACTAATAGCTCTGGAGTTCATTGAGGAAAGATTGCAAATTTTTCCCTGTTACACCTGTGTAACTCTGTTACAATGTGCTAAAAAAATGATAAATAATTCCATCCACCTAAACTCACATGTATAATTTCTAAATGAAACTAATAATACATAAATAAAGCCTTATCAGTTGGAACAATACAAAATTACTGTTCATATTCTTTTAAAAACTTTGACCCGTGTTTATTGCTTCTCTGAGACAATGGTTCTGGTTTCAGTATTAGGGACATTAGGATGTTAATCTTTCAGCCCTGACTATACTGTACATCCGAGGAACAATGGGACACATAATTGCCCTCTACAAGTAATCATGGGGAAAAAAAAGCTTAAGAAAAGACATTTTGCATCCCCATGATATCTCATAATTCATCCTGTAATCCAGTGTGTAGACACTACAATTGCACATGTTGCTCCGTATTATATCATTCTTTTCTATTGGTATCATATTAATATCGAAACTATATTTAAAAACATCATTATGAATAATTTGTTCTTTTCTTATTACTTTAAGTGGTTCCATATTTTACTTCTGCTCCTCTGTTGATTTAATTCTCAATGCCTGAAGCTCCTCATTGATGATTCAATGCTATTTTTGTACTCCATTATTTTTGTTAACTAGTGGAAGTTAGGATTTAAGTATAAAGGTAATGACATAAAAAGAGAAAGTTTAATGGTGAGAAATATTTATATTTTAAAAAACAGGGATAGGAAATTGAATTGACAGAAGAGAGACATAAAAAATTAAACATAAATCATACAAAAAAGAAATTACAGACAGAAAGTATGCGCATCTGTTAAGGAATTGGAATGAACAAAGTGAGACAATAGAAAACAGCCAACTTGCAGTAAAAAAAAAAAAAGTCAAAACCTGAATCTAAATACCTCTTAAAACCACATAAAACCACTTTATAGACTCCTTATTTTCAACCCTGAAATACATACCCTAAAGCAATTACATTTTACATTGGGTATATTAAAGGCTGTTTTCAGGAATTAGTAGAAAGCTTCTTCAGCAGTGCTTCCTTTGAATTCTACATCAAACAAACTTTTCTAGAAACAAGTATTTCATTACTCTATAGGTGTATTGGATTTTAAAAATGCATTATTATAATATGCTTAATTAAATACATTTAAATAGAACACATTTTAAATAACCTATCTTCCCAAACTACTGTGGTGGGTTAACCCTAGCCAGAGGCTAAGACCCCAGCCAGTTGCTCACTCACTTCCCTACCTAAAGTGAAGACTCCCCTAGAAAAGCATGAGTTGAAAATTCCCAGGTTGAGATAAAGACAGTTTAATAAGTGAGGCAAAGATTCACACACAAGCAAATCAAGGAAAGAATTAATTCACTACTTCTTATCAACTGGCAGATGTCAAGCCATCACCTGGAAAGCAGGGCTTCACCATGTGTAACAGGCACAAATGCCATAATCCTGAACCCTTTCCCTTCCTCTTGAGTTTTTATAGTTGAGCATGGTGCCATATGGCATGTGTTATCCCTTTGGTCAGCTGGGGTCAGCTGTCCTGGCTGTGTTTCCTCCCAGCATCTTGTGCACCCTCAGTCTACTCACTGGGGGGTGGAGTGAGAAACAGAAAGTCCTTGGTGCTGTGTAAGCACTCATCAGCAATAGTTAAAACATTGTTGTATTGTCAACACTATTTTTGTTACAAATGTAAAACACAACAGCACACTGGTGCTATGAAGTCAATTAACCCAGTACGACTACTGTGAACTTAAGAAATTTTTAATGAAGAAATATTGAACATTTTGTTTTGGTTTGTCCTCACTGGTATTTTCCTGGACAGTGTACGGAGCGTATGTCAAACAATAGACATTGTTTTTATTATCTGAGCATGTAAGAATTAAGAGCAGATGAATCTATTTTTCCAAAGACTTTATTTTAGTTTTCACTATAACTGATGTTCAGATTTCCAAAGAACCCTCTGTTCCTCTCTTCTGTCTTTCAAATTGGCTTA